AAAAAAAAAAGAAAAAAAAAAGAATGTGTTTGTGATAGCCACCTTTCCAATGAGACCATTTATGATGAGGTCTCAGTGGCCGTATTTTAAAGCTCTAATTCCTAATGGGAGCTACACAACACCACTATCTTTGTTGTTGCAATTCTTCCATAGATTTCAGTTCAGAATTTTTTGAGTGGCACATCGTATACTAAAAAATAATCATCACTCTTTAGTTGGCTGAGGAGGTTAAGCCAGTTAAATAGTGTTACGCTCGGATTCTGTAACAGAGGTCAGTGTGAGTTTATAGAATCTACAGAATAGACGTGTCTGTGAAGGGTCTCATTCATCCAGGTCATCGTAGTGTAAGGAGCTTGACCTCAGTAAATCACATGATAAGGCTAGGTTTCACAGTGTGTTCACCCAAAACCTTGGCTGATTGGGACCCAGACCCATTTTCACACCTTGGCTCGTGTAGGTGGAGGATCAATAGCGGGTTGCGGACACTCCCATAGGGCTTAAAATCTGGGACTCTCCACCAATTGCTCTTAGAACTGAAGAAGCTTCTCAGATGAGAGGTGAACGTCTTCAGACGCTTTTCTTTCCAAGCTCCTTAGACTACAGAATAGATGGTTTTGAATACCAACATATGTTAAAATAAAAGGAATACATTTGCTGAAAGGGTATAAAATAGCTAAGATACGATAAGAGAGTGGACAATCAATAGTTTGTTTGTCACATAACAAGTTATTTACAACTACAAAGACTTTTATTTGAATATACATCCTTTCAGGGTGGCCTCCTCGATAACGTCCTGCTATATACTCCGGTACAATAGGTGGCGGTATAAACCTGGCTCATAGGCTAGTCGTCCACGAGTGAAACCAAAGAAGAAATAAGGCAGTATTCACCATGGCAGAGGTAAGTTAACTGTGATTTAAACCCTCATTTTTACATGTCTGCGGTGTGATAATAGTTTATTGCTGTTGAGTTGCCCGGGAGTGTGTTTAACAAAGAAACAAAGGGAACGTGGACCGGTGTTAACCTGCCAGCTCACTGGCTGGAAGCTAAGTTGTCTGGCCAGTGTTTACGTCTAGTAGCGCCTCTCCTAACAAGCTAGCAGTAGATCGACGCACATATCCAGAAACTGCGTAATTTAACCAAGCAGAGCTGTGCGTATAAACTAAAGATAAAGCTGGCTGGGTTTGATTTGCTTATATGTGCTAAATGATACACAGTTTCTCAGAGAATGGTGATAATGTCAAGATGATGACACGATTGTGCTGCCATAATCCAGCAGTAAACCAGCACTGAGCAGTCCAAAGAAGGAAGACATGCCCTAACATAGAAAGGAAACATTTTCAGCAAACACTTAACATGTGTTCGTAACATGTTTGGTATAAGTAGCTTATGGTAATGAAAGGTCACATAACCACGTACTGTTGAGGCCATAAATACTGGGAGAGTTGTCATATATTCTTCCGGCTCTGAGTTTCAGGACAGCAAATACTTTGGCATCAGGTATCTGCTGATTTCTTCATTTTTAGGAAGACACCGGGAACGGTTCTTTTATGTGAAAGGCAGGATTACACTTTGGTATCTGCTGTTGTCTGCAACACAGATGAGTGGTCAGTCCGGTTGTACTTTTCAGATCTGCTTGAAGTACCTTAATGATGCGTAGATGGTGTTATTGTGAAAAACAGAGCAGGAATGTGGGCACGTTCAGATCACCCTGACCCAAGCACACATTCATGGCAACATCAGGCTCGGCATTCTTATCTAATTTGTAAAATAAAATAAAACAAAACAAAACAAATAAATGACAATGGGACCGGGATAAATACAGCGAAAAAATAAAGATAGGTTTACGTTATTTATTTAGTTTAGTCAGTTTGAGTCTTTCCCAAGTCTCACAGTTCATGAACTTCCTCAAACACACTGTCATGGGGGGAGTGGAGCCGAGTAAAAGCTAAGAACTGTTAAATTTAATTTAATGAGAGCGACAGAGAGAGAAAGAAGCTGATGAGGACTAAGAGAGTTACTGTTAACACACGGTAATTAGTGGATAATAGCTAACATAATGGTTGTGACTTCAGTATAAGAAAGAAAAATCAGCAGTCGTGAGGACAACAGACATTAGCTGATGACCCCCCCCCCCCCCCCCACTCACCCAACCACCACACCACACACACCACACACAACACACGCACAACACACACACACACACATCACACACACAATACAAAAGTTTATACAGTCAATTGTAACTTTACTTCTGTTATCAGATTAATTGTTCACAGCTTTGGAAGAGGCAATAATGAAAACATTTTATAGAAGATATTGAATTTGTATTGCTGCTGTAATTAATACAAAAAGCAAACATAAGAAATCCATTAACAATCCAGTTAATGACTAGTTTTGCCTGTAAAATGAATAAACAAAACAGCTGGCTTGCTCAACTCTAAAAAGCTTAAACAGTTTAATGGCTGCTAAAAACGCCACATGAAAAATGTTAAAATCTATCAAAAATGTTTTGAAGTTTCGCTGGATTCACATCCGCAAAGAAGACTATTACAAAGCAATGGTTCTGTCCTGACATTTGTATGGAATCATTCTGGAGACGATGTCTTATCCGTGTTATTGGTTTTGAACATACCACAGCAAAATTAAATAAAGCTCGACCCACGACTGTTGACGCTTGGAAAATCTTCTCATCCAGAGTTATCTCCTGGAAGAGGCAATAATTGGTTTTAACTTTGTGTTTTTGTGTCTTTTCTTTGCTGTCCCTATGCCTTGTTTGCTAATGTTTGCTTTGCTACTGCAGTTTACAGTTGTGCTGTATATGTCTGTACCCCCCCCCCCCAAACCCGTTTTAAATCAATAAAATGTTGATCACAAAATGTTATTGAAGTCACTGAAAACTCTAAATTTGTGCCTAAAAATATTCAGAATGTGTCACAGGTACAAATAAGCTCCTTAACTGTTTATTATTATTATTATTATTATTATTATTATTATTATTATTATTATTATTTTATTTTACAGGCTGCATATCAGTTGTACAGTTTATGGATTTCTGCACTTCTAAACTAAACCTGGCTGCTGTGTATTAGGTGTATTGTAGTGTGGCCATATTTCAATGGTTACCTTGTCTTTCCACAGACTCACAGCTTGCAGGACATGAGGCAGCAGGCTGCCATCACTGCCAAAGTCTTCATTCAGAGAGATTACTCCAGTGGCACCATGTGCCAGTTCCAGACCAAGTTCCCCTCTGAGCTGGAGAACAGGGTAGGTCTTGCTACTCCACGGTGTTTCTAAACATGACTTCAGCTGCTTAAACGGATGACTTATGTTTCCACAACCTGTGCATATTATCCATACTGGGGAGTGTAGAAGCACTATTTTGTCACTAGCAACAAAAGAACACAGCTGGGTGTGAACATGGAGCCAAAACATGGAACAGCAGGATCGTCAACAGCAGCCTGCTGGATTTTGTCCTTATGCGACCTAGTGGAGGTGGGCTAAAAGGAGGAGTAGGCTGCAGAGACTGAATAGGAACAGGCTGCACACCACATTAAAGCCGGTGGCAGCACCAACAGTTCAGAGTTTGCAGGACAGAGAGCTGCACTTTTAAAAATGGTCGTACCACATGAAAAGAGCAGTTTCACATCACTTAAATCGCTCGCTGGTGGTTTATTGGCACTTCCCTCTGGGCTGGGTGGTCTACCATGTTTTTCCTGTAGGATTCAGTTTTCTCTCTCTCACACACACACACACACAGATACACACTCAGACACAGAACAGCTGGACAAAGTAAAGAATGGATTTCCTCTGGGAAGTATATGCTTAAGTCCCCATCATAAAAAAGATTTTCTGGTATATATTTTTAATGATCTACTGTAATTCCAGTTTATGAAATATGCAGTATAAAACCAAACCATTAAGTGGTTATATAATTTTTGGACATTAATTTATGCCATTCTTTGAAGATGTTTGCTTTAATAAAGCCTTATATTCTTTGAGGCTAGTTTATTGCTCCAGTGCCTGATTTCTGCCATAGTTACCCTTGTTTTGTGCAAGTTAGCTCTAAACTTTTCCTTATTGCAAGCAGTTGTCATAGACTGGGATTTACTATTTGCATTAAGTAATAAAGAAAGATTTGTTTGTGTAGCACCTTTTAAAACTACAAAAAACAGAAAGTTGGCTGACTTGACTCCCAGGGTAACGTTTCTGCTATATGGGATCCTCATTTTTTTGGCTGTGGTGCACATTATTAAAGCCTCGTTCTTGCCAACTGTGAAGTCAGCATAGGCCCCATAACCGTTTGTACTGGTGGTTGAGCGATGATGGACTTGCAGCATTCTTCTTTTGAATGATCAGTGTACCTGTTTGGTGAAAAAACGAATAGATGGATTTGAAAGCAGAGCAATCACCAAGTTTACTTCTAAACTGAAGGTCAAAGGGGTTTAAATTTACAACTTCCTCTGCTTGGTATCAACTGCATCTGGTCGAACTAAATGAATTCTAGGTATTTCTAAACAACATCGAGGAAGTCACATCTGGCTAGCCATCGCACAATTGACCTCCAGTGACCGTGATGAATAAATATTCAAATGTTTCTCCTTAGTTTTTAAGTTTATTATTCTGATGTTTCTGATGTTTTATTTATATCCATATACTCATGTGTTTATCACTGTTTGTACTGTTATGGAACCTCTACTGATTGAACTGCTGCCTGTCATGCCAGAAGACTCTTGCAAAACAGATTTTAAATCTCAAGAGTCCCATTTTTCTGGTGAAGTAAATATCATTTTAAGAAAAAGCAAATGGCACATCGAAAGTCCAGTGTGAGAAAGTTTGCCAGTCAGATCAATGGGAGGAATGGGAAACAATACAGCTGACGATGGTGGGCTCAGAAGACGTAGGTGTTTTGCGTGTAGCGTGTTGGGTGTCACTGTGCCAAAATTGGGCACAGTCTCTTTTAAAACCTTTTCTTTTACCTCTGTGAGGTCTGACAGACTACATGTTGTTCCCCAATCCATCCTGCCTCCTTGCAAATCATCTATCAGTTACACAGGCAACATTACTGAGTTTTGCTTTGCCGTTATTGTTGTGTACAGCTTAACAGCAGAAAGAAAACTGAGCAGAACTGTGCTCATTTCGGTCAACCTAAGAGAACTAAAGGAACTGTCATGCAAGACCCCCAAAATTCCAACTCATTAGTCTTTCTGTTGGGATATCGTGAGTTCTCCCAAATGAAGATGTACAAGTAGTGTGCAAAGTCCTCGAGCCACCGTTCATTTCTTTATATTTTATTTTGCAAGAAAATCTGGCTCCTTAGATTGTTTTAAAAATTGGTTTTGAGCAATAGTTCTCCAGGACTTCTGAAAGCATTTCAATGTTTTTCTTTGGACACTGACTGCTTTTTAGCTCATTTTCAGTCAAGTCTTCGTACCTGATCATTTTTAGAGGGACATTTTTTGTTAAACTGCTCAACACTGACCTTTGAATCATTCATGTGTAAAAAAAGACAACTAACTTGAGGGTGCCTTGAGGAATTTGGATAAAATAGACGTGTCAGCCCTAAAAAGATGAAAAGTATCTGAAAGTCATGTCCTTAAGAAAAATAAGAAAAATCATCAGGTACCTGACACAGGACCTGAGAGATGCATCTGGTCCTTCAGCTGATCCAGCTATTGTTCACTGAAGCCTCCTCAGAAATGGTCTCAGTGGAAGAATGACAGTCAAGAAGCGTCCTTAGGGAAGCCAAACGGGGTCCTGAAGATTCAATTTAAAAAGTATGTTAAAGCTTGTGTAATAGAGTGATGAAGAATAAAGGTGGGCATACCAAATATTGACTTTCAAGCTGTATACAGTTATACAGATTTTCCGTGCATGTTTGCATGTTTTAATAAATCGCTGCAACTATTTCCCCTTTTTGTAGCAAAATATGAAGAAATGACAGCTTTGCTCAAGACTTTAGCACAGAACTGTAGGTTTTCATCCATCATGATGGATGATGATCATGAATAGATGTACTTACTCTATTTATTGGATTTAAACATGCTGGAGGCTGGGTTACCTAAACCGTGGTCATTAGAGTCAAACCTTGAGATTGTGTTTGTGGATTTGAGATTTTTGAAGTAAGCAAGCAAGACCATCGAATCTTTGATCGGAGTGTAGCAGTCAAGCAGTCTTTTTTTTTGTTTTTTCCATTTCCATCTTCTCAGGTCTCTTTTCTGTCTGAATGCTTGTTGAAACTAGTGCCGACGAACTGGGAAAGCACTCGGACTTCTAAATGTATTTGGCAGCTTGCTTGCCAAACCATTCAAAGGGTTTTTCATTAATTGACTCTTCCTTCCTCTCTTCCTTAATTGGATTTGTAAACCCCGTTCACCGTTGTGCTCTCATCTAACATCTCAAGAACAGTGATGGGCACATCACACGTAATGGAAAGATGGGCACTCAGAGAAGTGGGGTTTTAGTTGCAGCCTCTGAATTGGTGAATTTAAAGAGAAACAGAGGCTCTCAGGGTTTTTTCTTACATAGAGAAATTTTTTGGCACTCCCCAAAAAAACATGCAAACCTATTCTTGTAGCCCAGCCAGCATAAAATCCAGAGCTTGTAAACAGCCAGTCCAACAAATGACAGATGTTGAAAAGCCTCCCTGGTGAGAAAATTGTAAATGTGATGGTTGGAAAGGAGGACTCTGAAACGGAACTTTATAATTTGTAAATGCAGTTCTTACAGTACATTTTTACCATGTAACTCATGTTTACTCCTGTCAGTGATGGGGTTTTTTTCTTTGCAGAAGATGGAACACAGCTCAGTGTGTTTCATCACGTAGGGCTTGTGTGTAATGTCTTTACTAATGGACAGAATAACCAGAGAAATGCATAGGTTTCAACAGAGTCATTGCAGGCAGGCTGACAGCACTTACTGCAGTGTATAGTCGCCACCGACCCCTGGCTCTGGTTGGTGAGTAACAAACACCTCTAAGACCGCTAATATCTTGGCGCCTTTTGTTGGATACTTCAGACAGAGGGAAAGAAAAACTTGGAGGGTTTTCAGAGGTTCAGGAGGCCCTTGGCTGGTTTCTAGTCTAGTCTGGTCGGAAGCACCATCATTTCCCCTTAGTATCACAGAAGCTTCTTGGATACTAGCATGTGACTAGTGTCAACACCCCAGTGAAAAAAGGCCTGTGAAACCAGCAATTCACCACACTCTGACAGCTTTCCCTTTGGTAAGCATACATTCAATGAATTCTCAGTATTCTTGTATCCCAAAGGCTGTCTAAAGGATACCAAAATGCGGCGGTGTCTTTATCTTACTTTGTGCCACTGGAGAAGGAGAAATATTCCAGAACTGCGTGTGTCCTGCTTTCACCGCGTTTGTCCCATCTGTTATTAAGTGGAAACATTTATGGAGCACACGGCCAAGGTATCCGAGTCATTTCAGGAGGTGTTTACAAATGCAGGAAGGAAGCCCAGTATTCCCTTGATATATGACCGGTCCAAGAAAATTCAGCTCCTCATTTATCTAGAAATGGAAAGAATGGAAGAAAATGATCTGGTGCTAAGGAGATTGTGTTTCCACTCAGATATCCTAAACACACTCACACTACTAATCAAATTTACGCCTGGCTCTGGGCCTCGATTTTAACCCTCTTGTCTTTCCTCGTATTTCAGATCGACAAACAGCAGTTTGAGGAAACTGTGAGGGCGCTGAACAACATGTACGCTGAGGCCGAGAAACTGGGTAGCCAGTCATATATTGAAGGCTGTCTGGCCTGCCTCACAGCATACACCGTCTTCCTGTGTATGGAGACGCACTATGAGAAGGTAGGATTTCTTTGAATATAATGGTACTGAATACATCAAAACTGAGTTTTGAAGCACCATGACAAATAGGCTTGTGAAGATGTTTTGTAACTCGATGTTCTTTGGAGTTTTAATAAATATGGGTTTTTATAAATCCTTTGTGTTTTTATTTGGAAAATCCTTTATTGTGAAACATGAAAACATTTAACATAAGAGTGATGGGAATAAATTATTTAGCAAAAAAAAATAAATGGTGTATACAAAAACTGTTCACATGTATTGAGTTTTCAACATTGAAATTTAATCTACGCATAAAAATGTCTTGATGCATCCTCAATCATCCAGGTAAGTAAATCTCCAAAAGTTGATTCTGTTCATCTGGACGTAGCGGTTTCAGTGGGAGAAACGTTTCATCACTCATCCAAGTGACTGCTTCAGTCTCAGTAGACTGCAGGTTTCACCAATCTTATAGGTTATAGGGTATAGGTTTCCCCAGCCCATTGTTCCTTCAGTGGGCTGGTTTCAGTCATTATGCAAATGTACTGTTTATAATGTACTGTCCAGATGAACGCAATCAACTTTTGGAGATACGCATAAAAATGTACAGGTGTTTTGGCTATGCCTCCTTTAAAGCATAACTGATATGGATTTTTATGATACTAATAAATCCTGATTTAAAATATTATATATGGCTTTTTTTTTTTTTTCAATCAATTTTCAATCAACAGTCTTATACAAAAATTGTCGTTAAAATAAGTTGTACTGTGTAAATTTGTTCAAATGTTGGCTGGCTGGGTCTAATGGTGCTTGGATGATTTAAAAGTAATTTCGACAGTGTTTAAAGTATCTGCCTTCGGTCCCCGCCTGGTGTTTAAATAGCTGCCAAGAAGCAATGCACGTAGAAGAAATATAAAGAAATTCAAATTGTTAGAAGTACTCCATGTTGGATAAAACAAGGAAAGGGAGCTGCAGGGATCGTGTGTGTCTGTGTCTTGTCACGTTAGAGAAAGCAGTTCTTCTGTTTCCCCAACTCTGATGTGTTGGAATGGAAAAAGTGATGCAGCCACAGAAAATTCATAATCTGGAAGGATTATTCTATCAACATGAAGCTTTTTGAATTTTCTCATTAAAAAGTTGTCTTCAGCTAATTTAAATGTGGAATTTGACCCGCCTGTTTTCCAGTAAAAACTTGTGGAAGATTTCCACTTGTGTTGGGAGCATCTTCATTGGTTTGCAGTAATGGACTGCAGGGCCTTTTTATTTGGAATTAAACTGCTCGGAGGGTTGATCAGTGATGGGTCTCAGTGAAGTGGGTGAGTAAAGTTGAGTATTTACAGAAAGGTATTTTACTATAATCAAGACTTGTTTTTTTAAAAAAAAAAAAAAAAAGAATAAAGACATAAAGGGAAAAAAAGTCTGACTCAAAAAATGATTGGCTTCACAACACTTTGCAGCTGTAGATCTAAAGTGGACTCCTTTGTAAGCACCCCTATGGAAGCAGAAGTCAAGAAACTGAGAGTTTCTGAGTATTTAGAAGTTCTTTTCTTCAGTGATTCTGGTAAGCACTGCTGCGTACTCTATAGGCCAGTATGAGCCCACATATCCGCTCAGATGTTTCTGCAAAGCCCTGCTGTGTGTGTAATTTGTCTTGTCATGTTGTTGTCAACACCTTCTCCTCTTCCAAGCTCCTGTGACAGCAGAGTGAGGTTCCACCTCCAACGCTGCTGGAAAGATGAAGTATGCCTGAATTGTTTGAATCAAAAACCTCTCATCCTCTAAAATCATTGGGAATATATGAAGATATAATTTGTCATATTCAAAAGTGCATTCAGGTTTTGTTCAGGCTCTTATAAAACAGATACGTTTCTTCAAAGTTTTCATTGATCATGTAAAAATGAAAGCCAGCTATCAAAGATTTTTTTGATGCCAGCTTAGAGGAAAACTTCTGAGAAATAGAACAGTGTCAGATTTAAACATATCGAATAACTTCAAAACAGTTCGAAACTTTTGGATACAGAAAGTAAGGATGGGTATTGATAAGATTTTCATGATTCTGATTCCATTTTCGATTCTGTTTAACAATTCAATTCTTTATCGATTCTATTTTTTTTATTTTTTTTTATTTTTTAAAGGAGAACACTAAGGTCGATTAGCTTAGAACTTTGTTTTATATCTTCTCTTTGAACAAGATAGAAATTTAGGAGTAACATGGCCTTACAAACCCAACAGTGAGATCTTAAGAGATCCACAGCCCCTTCAATGGGGTGTCACAGGGTCCCCGGGGAAAAAAATTGTAAATGTAAAATAATAAAATAAATATTCTCCTGTAGCAATAACGAAGTATAACATAAACTGTTCTGTAGCAATTACACAAGAATATCCAGTAATGTCCCTGCCTACAATTAAACACATTCACTTACCAAAGTGAAATCGGGGGCATCTGCTGTGGTAAATGGGTGCAAGCCTTTGACCACAAACTTAGTCACTGCTCGGTGACATTCGTCTATCCTGGCCTGAAAGGAGACGCTACTGGTAGACTGCAGCGAGAACTGCCAGCATCTGAGCCAGACTCTGTCTGTCTCTCTCATCATGGTCACCTAAATGCACAGTAATGGCAGGTTTTGTAATAAGGCAGATCGCACTAACATAATATGCACTGTTAGTTGATTATTTACCTGCCACATTAACGGGAGAGGATGTGCAAACGTTACCGCTGCTGCTGGGTTGAGATTCACGAGTCCGGAGCGGAATTAAAAACACGACATTCATTTTAAGGTTATCGCGTGTTTTGTGAGCAAATGCTTTTGCATATTCGTAGTGTTTCCTCCCTTCAATGAAATATCCACTTTGCAAGTATTGCAAGTTGTCCTGTCGTCATTCGTTCTTGTAAAGTATAACCAAACTTTTGAGCGTTTGAGCCGCCATGTTTCCTGCCACCACACTAATCTACTAGTGACCACAGGATTTGTGAAAAGGTTTTCAGTGCAGCCAAGTATAAACTCATTTGCTACCAATTTCTGTCGAAAATGTACTGTTTATGTACTGAATGCTAGACACAGAACATTGCATTTTCTTGCATTTGTTTGATGCACATAGAATGGAGTTTGTTTAAAGGTTTCTATCACTATTTGAAATTTAAGAGTGAATAAAGAGGAGAGCACATATTGTGTTATTCAGTCCAGACTTACAGACATCAACAACTGTGTACTGTATTAGGTGCTCATAGACATGTTTTGGTCCAAAAGTAAGGTTGGATATTCAGTCCAGTTCAGGCCTGAACGCAGTAAGACTAAAGCCAAACTTTGAGGCTTTACCTTGGCCTCCAAGTGTTCCTCTCAGTTTATTCTAGCACTTGTAGTCACAATAATAGTTGCCTCAAGGCACTTATGTTTAATGCAAGTAGCTGCATACTAACATTCTACTTACTTAGCACCCAGTACGCTTGGTATTACATGCAGACCTTGACAGGATCTCTTATTTGGCTACCGATTTTCAGTCTGTAGTTGCTTTGAGTATTAAAGTGCTTTCTCTTTTCTCTTTTTTTTTTTTTTTTAGGTTTTGAAGAAAATTGCTAAGTACATTCAGGAACAGAATGACAAGATCTATGCACCGCGAGGCCTACTGCTCACTGACCCCATCGAGAGAGGCCTGCGGGTCGTATCCTATAATTTTGTGTCAATACAAACAGAACAAATCGAGCATTTTTCAGTTCTTTTCTTTCTAATTAGAGCACACAGTAGATGAAAAAGAGGAACCTTATACTCAGATTGCTAACAAACAAAATCAAAACACAGTTAAGGCTAAATGGCACTATGTTTTTACAAGAAAACTAGTCTTGTGCAAGAATGAGGATGTACGGGAAAGGGGAATTGCAGTGAATAGTTTGGCGAACTTTAACTTGTTAAACATACACTGAGATCATGAAATGTGAATGTAATCGGACCACATCTTAAGCAGAACAAGGAGCTTTCACAATGACCTAATAGATGTAGTGATTTACAGGCCTTCCACCCCCACTAACTGCTGGATGAAAATGGAAAGCAGCAGTCACAGGCAACTTACAGGAAATCCAGCACTGTGTAGGGATAACCTGTAAAAACACCAGATAAAAGTTAGTATGTAATCTATAGCATCTGTGCACCAACATCCTGCCTGTCTTAGCGTATGCATGTGTGGGGTGACTCAACATCCCAATTAATTGCAACTGGGCAGCAATAGGAGATTAGGGATAACAAAATATGACCAAAATCGTTACCAGCTGAGCTTTGTTCCCAGTCCTGCTTATGATTTTATAGTTTTGACAGTGATCTGGATTTTTTCGCCAGCACTGTCAAGAGCTGCGCTGACTTTGGCACGCGAACACTGGGAGATTGACAGGAATGCCTCACCTTTAACATTTGAGCCGTTGAAACCTGATCGTATTTGTAACTGTCTAGTACGTCTGCTTCATTTTACCATCTGGACTCTGAAAATGTACCGTTTTCCTCTAGTAGCAAGGGGTTGAGAGTTGCTGTGACTATTGACAGTGGTTTGCTGCCACCACAACTGCACCCTTGAAAAATCAAAAGCTACTGCTATCCAGACCCCCTACTTTTTTATAACACAGGAACACAACACTATGAGAACTGCTGGTGTTAAAATAACATGAAGTTAAAGTGTCGTCCGATGGGGATTGATGTCAGGCTACTATGTGCTACTGGGATGGCTGTAATTAGCCATGATGTCAATTTATCAATTGTCTTGAATTCTGCTTTTCCGACAGTTTATCTGTTCCACCCTTCACGTATACGCTTCAGCCACAACATTTAAACAGTCGAAGTAAATAAATAACATTTGTTCTGATATGCAGTGTTGCGCTTTTGAACCCTTGGGTCACAGCATTTATGTGGGTGTTGCTTTGACAAGTACCACCCACATTAGCTTTGTTCCAGACCAAGCAAACTCTTTAATGACAGCTTTCCTCAGCAGGACAGCGCTACATTCACATACAAGAGTCTCCAAACTTCCCACATCCCAATCTGAGGAAGCATTACAGTGATGTGCCTTACTAAGCACGATCCACTGAGGTCACACATTAACACTTCAGGCTCAGAGGATCGGTTGTTAAAATCACTGACGACAGTCAGTGGTGGGTACTACGTTAATGAGAAGTGCCCATTAACAGAATAAAGCAAAAAATCTCAGAAGATGCCTACAAATACATTTTTGTTTAAATCTCAACTAGCAGGGTGTTTGACTCCTTTAGCAAGGCCATGCTGTACTGACATTTTCAGTGCTAATCTGACACTGATGAAACTGGCATAGTAAAAATACTACGCTGTCTACTGAAAGTTTTTAGAGTGAGTTTGTAATTATTACTTACTTAAATGCTTTGGTTTTGAGCACTCATTTAAAATTGGCTTTCATTCAATAAGGAAAAACAACACAAGAAAGAAACTGTGTCCAAGGGCTTTGACTACATTTGTTATGAAAGATTTAACAGTCTTTAAACTTTAAACTGGAGTTAGAATGGATAATTAAACGAAATGGTTAGTAAACCCTTTGATATTTTCTGTTTCTGCATAAGACAAAAGAACATGAAAGATTCATGAGATTTTCCTAAAGATAGGAAAAGACAACTTAATTTAAAAAAAGAAGAAAAGAAATGTCTGTGTCCTTGAAACATCTCTGTGCCGCTCCTCTTTTCCTGCTGGCTGGCATAAGTAATGTTTTCCATTCCATAGCCTTTGACCCTGACATTATTAAACAGTCCAAAATGCCGGGTAAGAAGTTGAGATGGAAAATCTCACTGATGAACTTGTCAGTGTGATAGAGGTAGCTACAGTCAAAACTTGTACCTTTTAGTTGACACAAAAACATGGAAAGACGGAAAAAAAACAAGAGCATTGATAAACAGTTTTTAGTGTGTGTGTGTGTGTGTGTGTGTGTGTTTGTGTGTGTGTGTGTGTGTTGTGTGTGTGTGTGTGTGTGTGTTGGAGAGAGAGAATTAAAATTTGAATTCGATGTATCCACACTTGCTTCAGCTGCATTTCCTTGACAGAGTCCCATCAAGGTTGAAATCACCATCTTTGAAGACAGAAGCCTGACGAGATAAAAGCTAACATGGTGAGTCTCATAATTAGAAATTTCACACATAAAGAGGACTTTGGCCCTGTTACAGATTTAATGATGCTCTGGTTTTACAGCATGCTGATACATTTCCCAGCTATGAAACCCAAAGGGTTGGAGTCAAAGAGCAGTAATGAAAGGGACTTCTCTCCCCATATGTGCTACAGTTCTCATGCAGAATGCTTGTGCTGTAAAAAAAAAAAAAAAATCCCACATCAAAGTGTAATGTGAGTAATATCAGCGCCATGAGAGCAGTTTCATAAAGCTTCTAATGGAGAATTCTGCTTATTTTATGACTTCAGGTTTTGTCATATATTCACTGAGGGATTTATGTGCTCACTGTCCAGAGCACATGCATGAGCCAAACCCCGCCACTGAACCAGAAAAGAGAAAACGTGCCCTTTCAGCACCAAAGCAATCTCCTTGCTGTTACATTTCCTTAACTCAGTGTAATCAAACAATTATCACATTCTACTTAAAATGGCCAATTTCCTTGTTTACTTTTCTGGCCAATGGGTTCCTACCACATTTGTGTCTGGAGAAAGTGGGCGAGGGCTGTTAGGCTTCAGTTCGAGAGCAGGCTTTTGATCTGCTGAAAATAAGCTTGAAAACTAATTAGAAAGCAAAACTTACAGCTGTAATATGATGGGAAAAACCCCTAAAACAAAACAGACTAATATGGAGTGCTATATTGTCATAAACTCACTTTATTTATTGACTCAAAGTCAAAAATGACCTTTGCTGCTATTCTTGATGTTGTCATCTATGCCAAATAAACCCGTTCAAAAAGGCCTTTTTCAGGGAACACAAAATGGGTTTATTTTAAAGCTGTTCTGCAGCAGTGCAGGTTGATCAAGCCTTGAAAGCTGGTGCTACTTTGAGGATTTGGACTTTAAAAGATTTGGAATATATTTTGTTCTATAAATGAATTCCATGATTTCTTTTTTTAACTCCCAACTGCTTATTTGTACTATGCTTTCATTTCAGAGTCCAACAAGATATTAAACTGCATAATATTCAATAAAAAAGTGGAAAAATTGGGGTTTTCTAAAACTTTTAACTGATAGGGGAGCTCAGTAAAATATAGAAAAGTGAAGAGCTCAACAAATCAGTCCAATACTTAAATGTAATAAAGTAAGAAGCTTAGCAGACAATTAAATGCCGACACCAAACACTGTATGGAACAAGATGACATGACAAGATCAGAAGTGGATCCTTGATGTAAGGATTATATGTTTTAAGAAATTAACTGTCCACCCCCATCTGCTTCTGCTGGAGGTTTCTTCCTGTTAAAAGGCAGTTTTTCCTTCCCACTGTTGCCAAGTGTTTGCTCATAGGTTTTTGCTACATAAATAAAATTAAATTTTTGCCGCATGGCAAAGTAGGCAGTAGTTAAAATCCACCGATTCTGTGTATTTTGAGAAACAGGACCTCTTTAATGGATCGTGTTACTATAAGATTATAATGAAAGCTATCAGATGTTAAAGACAGACTTGGGCATTTATTTAATTAAAATCAATAACTAGAGTTCCTAAAAGGTTTTTCTAGCTTGCCTTTAATTTATTTTCATGTAATTGATTTATTTATTTTTTGTGTGTACCTCATAATAAGTAGGTATGGAAACCTTTCCTGGTCCTTTACTTCACTGGGAGTAAATCACTGTTATGTTTAGCTGCACTTTAAAGCATTGCTGTTGTTTTTCAGTCAGCGGCACTCCACACTGACTGTAAATTTATGGCTTAGTATGACAACTACTCATTCACTTTGTTTTAGTAATGTTGAGACAGTCAACAGAATGAGCACTTTGCTGCTTCTGTTGTAGATTTTCTGAGTTTACACCTGAAAATGGCCAGCTCAAATAGACATGGATAGACATCATCAGCAGGTTTTCTTGTTTGTTGGCAACAATCAAATGGTGCAGTGTTTAAAAACCAAGCTCAGATTACTCATACACGACACACAATGTCCTGCATTACATCTTTAAGCTTGTCCTTTGATTTTATTACACTGGAAATGAAACCTAATGAGAACCAAGTGTTAGAGGAAGCTACTAATAATCCACTGCTTAAAATATGATGGCGTGTCAGTGATTTGCAAGATATTTTTCAAGGAAATCTGTTCCAGCAAATGAAATTTTCTCCTCATTTATCCGGTTGTAAAATTAGTTTCATAAAGAGCACTCTCAGCAGCAATCATTCCACTGCACTGATTTTTCTACCCAACAGCTCACCTTATATTCTTAATGCTAAGACCCTTTGACACAGTGCACTATGATCATCAACCACAGATGGCTTTTGGATATCTGCCGGTCTTCCCCACTGGCAGACGCCCTAAGAGCTCATCCCATAAATAGTTTCTTTCTTTCTTACAGTAAATCCTTTCTTTTTTTCCCTCATGTGTGGAGAGATGAATAAGACAGGGAAGCTCATTGAGGGATATGTTGGGTTCAAATCATACTGAAAAGTACTTTGTATAGAGTTTGGACTGGACCCAGTCCTGCACTGATGCATAGACATTACCATGAGGATGAGTATGACATACAAAGTAAATGTTTTACCAGGAAAATGTTGCACTTGGCAGTATTTGAGATACCATAGACCCCTCTGGATGGATAAACTATTGCACTAATACAGCAGTGATGCATACAGGGATTAATCTTCTCATCTGAAATTCCAGTGAGTGCCTCCATACATATACATGTCCTGTTAAGGAATGTAAACCCAGGATTTTTATAAGTAGCTGTTGATAGAAAAGTGCATTGGAGCTTTGCCAGTGTCAAAGACGGAAACCACAGGCAGCAAGCAGACTAGCGGATGGATTTTCTCTGTGTGTTCTCAGAGGTTTTAAGCCTCTTCATTCTGCAGTTTCCTTCTACTGTGTCCTCCAGGCTTATATCGGTCTCATTTAGTCATATTGGCCAGTGAATTTTCACAGTATTTATCTTCATCTACTGCATGAAACTTCCTCACCTTTACTATGTGAATATCCGTCCATCCATCCATCCATCCTCTTCTGCTGATTAGTAAGGTTGCGGGGAGGCTAGAACCTATCCCAGCTACCATTGGGCGAGAGGCAGGATACACCCTGCACAGGTCGCCAGTCTGAACATCCATCGTTTAAAAAAACTAAACTAAACTTAAATAAAAGTCATGTGATCTGTTGCATTTGTGATAACCAAGAATTATCACCTGAATACGAGGTAGTATCGTAAAAAGTTCATTATTTGTAATATAAATGAGCCACTGAAAACAAACAGGTGTTGTCTGTTTATCCAGGAGAACAGCAGGACTCATCAACTCTATAGGCATACTTATAAGAAATGACACAAGGGGAAATCGTCTTTTGTATTATGTTAAAACAGATGAACTGAACAAAACTAGCAAAGGATACAACTCTACCAGCATCTGAATAATGTCTGGCTTTATAGCTACCTAGGTTTCCATAACTTGAGTTGCTAACTCTGACACTTGATGCTAGGCAAGTAATGTACGCCAGACTTATGAGCCTTTTTATTGACAGGCACAGGTGATAAAGTTAGAAGATGGCTGAAACTCATAAATGATGCCTCTGTTTGTTGCACATAATCCTTTGATTTATTGTAACACTGGAAAAATTACAGATTAAAACAGATTTAAGTGCTGGATTCTTCTAGAAATGAAAGTATAAGTAAACAGTTATAGTCTTACACATTTTTAAACTTATTATTCAAAACTTAAAAATGAAAAATGTATCAAGAACACCAGACCCTTCTTTTCCCGGCCCTATTTTCTATCCTAATTGTAGTGGATTTTTAGCTGCTGTGAGCCTCCCGGTGAAGGTCTGAGCAGCATGATGGATCGGCCTCCAGTGGGATGAGTTCACTGTAGAAAAACAGGCTTGGCGTGCACAGCTGCTGACTCCTGAGTATCCATTCAGAGGCAGGTGGTGCCAAGTCGGTGTCCTGGCAACTCATCCAGGAGACGTTCTGCTCCTGATAAGGTGTCGCTTGGCTCTGTGTACGAACAGCACAGCACGTCAGCAAACCTGTAAATTAGTCTGCACACATGAGAGTATTTAATGTCAGCAGAGAACATTTTGGACAAGGTGAGAACAAGAATGGTATCCATCATTAGATCTCCTCATTGTCTGAAATTGGAGGCTTTTTTTCTCTCCTGCCAAGAAATTTATTTACAAGCTGAAGGAAAATATCATTTTGACTCGCGTGTCACTTCCTGAGTTTCTGCAGCCCATGTGAATCATCCTGAGAACATTTCCTGAACAGCAGCACGCTACATTATGTTTATACCTGCTTTATACGTCACTAACAGAACCCCACCTGTGTCTGACACCATATACTTTTATATAACCAAAGACATTTTTGTTTATATGACATACATATTCACCACAGCAACAATGTGATGCTTTTAACCTTATGAAAGCAGCCTGGAAGACCTTCTGTGACTACAGAAGTGAAAAAGAGCCAGACTAACTTGACTTCAACCTTTGACTTTCAGTTTTTACGTTAATATCCATCCACTCATGTTCCCAAATGACATGAGGCTAAGTTATTCGCTGCTCACACCGCAGCAGTGAATCTGGCCTGGAGCTACACCACACCCATACACTGTATCTATTTTTTAAATATAACCCAGAAGAATTGACATAATGCTCAGTCAGTGTGTCATGTGATTAACTGATGTCACTGTTTCTGCAGCAGCTGTTGGGCTGCGCGGAGCTGCAGGGTCTACAGCATTCCGTCAGCGGAGCACACCTCCCCCGAGGAATTCCGAGGCCTGGAGCCTTAATACTGCGTCTCTACAATCTGTCATCACTGTCATATGCATGTTCCATTCACATGACTAGGTTTGAGATGTTGTGCCTCACAGGTTTTAGCATTATTTCTTGCCTTTCTGTCACCATTGATGAGGCCGGTATCAAAGTGTTATATGCTTGTATTCAGCTGACACCCATGTCCTCCTAAAAGAAAATTACCTTCCCATTCAGCTAAAATGCATTATTAATCTGGTTTCATGGGAAGTGTTGTTTTTTTTAACTTTTGTCCTTGTTTAGGCGCTAAACTACTATGTCTACTGAAGAAGTAGCTCAGGATCTGAAATATGAAGCAAATTCAGATGTGCCTTAAATCTGCACTCTAACGGCCTGCAGGGGGCGGCGACTCTGGCTGCAAAAATAAGCCTGACTGTAAGGAATACAAAGGAGAGATGAGCCTGCTGCTCACTTGTTTTAAACACTTTCCTGACGAATCACGCCAAATATTAAATAATGCAATCTGATTTTTATTTTGTAATTGAATTTTAGTCCCATTTTGGGTCAAAGAAGATGAGGTTATTCTTTATGCTGCAGCTACCTTGTGTTTGCTACCATGAGAGCGTGGAGTGAGCTAAGTTTCCTGTCAGTAAAAATTCATGGGCCCTCAAACTGGACAGTACAGTGGCCACTGTTTTCCATCTTTAACCAGTTTTGGCCCATCTGGTCACCTAAGATGGAAAGCAAGACTAGTACCCACATATATGTGAACATGAGTGTTTGTTTCCCTTGAACCACAGTAGAATGCAGTTTAGTTGTATGGAAAGAACATTTTTAGGAGTACATGCGTTTAGCTGGACTAAAAGGATTTATATCTTGGAGAGATTCAGAATTTATTAACATTCTTTAAGCCATTATATTTTGGACGATAAATATTTTTAATGATATTTGTGGGGACTCTGACCTTTTATATATGCCTGTCCTTTTTAGAAGGTCCTTTTTAAACAATAAAGCTGACAAACAGGGTAACTCATTTTTATGACGCTATGGAACAGCCACACTGTAAGGAAGGCAGTTGTTATCAGTGCCGCATCCCTGAGCTCCCTCTTTGCTTGCTTTATTTTTGCTGGTGCGGTTTTTTTGGGTGCATGGTATTTTAATCAGCATGTTTCCCCATCAGTTTTCAGGTTATAATTTCCAGCTCTTGACATTCTAGTCAGTCCCAGATTAAAATTTTACTGTATGTCTCATGGTTGATTTAAGAGATTCTTTTGTGTGTGAAACAAAACTTGTGCCTGCTCGGTATTTAAGCATGTCATACTGTAAATGCACCTCCTCGAATCATGGTTCGTTTTCTTTGAAGACTATACATAATGTTTGGTGACTACTTTTTATTTTTTGACTCGCATTCAATAAGTGTATACTTTAATCATATCTTGTGAGCTTGCCTTTGACTGAAGTATTAAAAGTGCTCTTGTTAGTTGACCTTGAATGTTTTCTGTGAGAATCTCCAGGTATTAGACAGTAACTACATCTCAGTCCTGCTAATCTGTAAAGTTCTTCAGAGACCGTGTGACTTGTTTTGTTCACTTTCTGCTTACACACTGAAATCTAACACTACGATTCTTACTCTGAGGAGAACCTCAGTGCTGTTTGTGTTAACAAACCTTACCAAAGGTTGAACAGCATGTACAGCTGATTGTGTTTCTCTTGTGAATGTAGTCTGACAGAAGCAGCTTGTAAAAAAGTGTATGTACAAGTAATGACCTTTGAATGCCATCAGTAACAAAGATTTTTAATTTTTGTAAATAAATGTTTCTTTAATTTTTTTTAGTTAGTCATTTATTTATCGTATACATAATTAAAACTCAGCTGATTTAACTTTTCTCAGTTGAAATCAAGATCCTAAATTAACCTTGAAATTGTACGCTTACAAATAAATCCTGTAAATATTTTACACCATGCTTTCTTCTGTGGTTATTTGGCTTATTTTGGGTATTTTTTTTTTCTCTTACCCGTATAGCATGTGGCCTGCTCAACACACTGAGCTAAAGCACCTCCCGTTATTTGGGAAGTGCTTTAGCTTATTTGATTTGAATTTATAAGAGGAGTATTTAGGTCACTTAAGAGTTTAAAAAAAAAAAAAAAAAAGCAACAAAGGGCTGAAAAATGAATCCAGGACAAGTGCCAAAAATGGCCCTTTCTCTATTGACCACATGAAGGTGTCTCCAGAAGTGAGTCAAACCATTTTTTGGAAAGTTTAGCTCAATTTCACTAGCCCACCCAGACCTGTGGTATCAAGAACACACTTAAATTGGACCCGTCTGACAAAAACATCTCAAAAAGCAACACATTTTGCTATGATCTAAAGAAATTCAGAAACAAAATCTTTCAATATCTCAGCCTGGAAAGGGTTATGAAGCCATCTCGAAGGACTCCAGTGAACCATGGTGATTAATCGTTCACAAGTGAACAAAAATACTCCAGAGACACAACAACTCATCCAAGAGGTCACAAAAGAACCCAGAACAAGATGTAAAGAATTACCTCAATGAAGGTCAGAGGTTTTTTTAAATGAAGTAGAAAGAGAGTGAGCAGAAATTCCATCCATGGGAGAGTTCCAAGGTGAAAGCTACTGTTGGCCAAAAGAAGACTTAGGCTCGGCTCATTAATAATAAAAAAAAAAAAACATGGCCACGGTTTCCATAGCTGAACGGCTACATCCAAGCCTCACATCACCAAGCGAAGTGTTGCATGCAGTGGTTTAAACAATGCCACCACCGGACTCTAGAGCACTGAGATGTGTTCTCTGGAGTCTGGCAATTTGAATGAGTCTATGTTTGAATGAGAACCTTCACAGACTCTATGTTTGTAACCAGAAGGCAATTGAACTTGTGACAATTGTAAAGAATGGTGGAGGGAGGATTATGGTTTTGGCTTGTTTTTCAGGAGTTAGGCTCAGGGCCTTAGTTCCAGTGAAAGGAACTCTTAACGTTACAGCATCCAAAAACATTTTGGACAATTTCATGTTCCCAACTTTGTGGGAACTGTTTGAAAATGGCCCCTCACTGCTCCAACATGACTACAGACCAGTGTACAAAGCAAGGTCCAAAGATGAGTGAGTTTGGTGTGGAAGAACTTGACTGGCCTACACAGAGTCCTGACCTCAACCTGACAGAACACCTTTGGGATGAATTAGGGCAGAGACTACTAGCCAGACCTTCTCAACATCGGTGTCTGAGCTCACAAATGTCAAAAAATGTCCACAGACACACTCCTACTACCTACTCCTACCTTGTGAAAAGCCTTCCCAGAAGAGTTGAAGCTGTTATAGCTGCACAGGGTAAGCTGACATCACACTAAACCCTATGGATTAATAATGTGATGTTACTCACATTCATATTACCAGTGAAGCACTGCACTGAAGCACATTCTTTAAACTAAGGTTTTGGTTGTGTAACTTGTCAGCTGCAGAGGTTTTTGCATTGCTGCCAGTCCCACCCAAACACCTCTGTGTCAATGGGAGACTTTTTTCATTGCAGGTTGTTTGTTGTTGTGTGGTAGTTAGTGCTGTTGCCTCATAGCAAGGTCCTGCGTTCAGTTCCACCATCAGGCCAGGCCATGTGTGGAGTTTGCATGGGTTCTCTCTGGGTACTCTGGCCTCCTCCCACAATCCAAAGACATGCAGTTTGTAGTGTTAGGTTAAGTGATGATTCTAAATTAACCATATGTGTGACTGGCTGTCTGTATCTATGTGTTAGCGACAGACCTGTCCAGGGTGTACCCTGCCTCTTGCCCTAAAGACAGCTGGGATAGGCTCTGGCGACCCTGAATTGTATAAGTGGAAGAGAAGGGATGGAGGTTGTTTGTTGTTGCGTAAATATCCAAATGAATACTGGTTTATACAAGGGATGTCACTTTGTTGCCTTTACAGTGCATCTCCGTGTTTAAAAATCCCATGAGAGAGAGAGTGAGTGAGTGAGTGAGTGAGTGAGTGAGTGAGTGAGTGAGTGAGTGAGTGAGTGAGTGAGTGAGTGAGTGAGTGTGTGTGTGTGTGTGTGTGTGTGTGTGTGTGTGTGTGTGTGTGTGTGTGTGTGTGTGCGCGCGCCAGACTCTAAACCTGATTGGCTTCCCTTCAGGAAGCTGGGTGGTGTCTGGTCCTCTTTCTGTGTGATTGAACTGCTCCTCACTTTAAGGTCCAGCATAATAGACTACCCAAACAGAGAAATGTCTGGCTTCACTCTAGGATCTATAGCTAATGTCCTACAACAGAGAAAGACGTCCAAATATTAAGACTGCATAAAGAGTTGGGGCAGCTTATACTGCCTTGCTTCTAAATAACTGTGCCTATGACAGATGTAATTCATTGGGTTTGTGGTTTATTGGATGTTTTCTGGCAGAAACTTCATAATTGGGCTTTACTGTAAACATCTCCACCCCCTTTCTGCCTGTGGGTGATGGGCTAAGATCTGTCTGTGGCAGATGGGGAAACAGGATTGTTTGGTATGTCGATGCACCATCCTGATTTGATTTATTGAAACAAGCTTTGGCTACTTCTTCCCACAGTGCAGAAACATTAAAACGTGTTGGTTAGCAGAAGTGGACACAGAAAATGACCTGTAGGTATCTCATATGGGCAGGGCTTGTCACTCTGTCCTAGGCTTCCTGCCAGTACTCCTTCAGCAGAGAAAAACACACCTGGACACAGACACTGACTGTAAATCATTTCTACCGCTTCTTCTGCAGATAAATGCTGTAATGTGGGCTTTACTCCACATGAGGTCAGTGTTGTACTACTGCACAGGCTTTGGTTAAACAGTGCCTGCTGCAGTATTTAAACTGACCCCTACACTACAGGGATCCAGTGAGTCTTCAGTGCTACAGGGTTATTTTGCATGGTTTCTGATATAAATGCATTCTGACTGATCACTTTTATCCTGTAATTAAACTTTTCAATCATGCTGGCAGTCCTTAAACAAGTATTCTGTCCCTGTCCACAGGACACAATGACTCACTGAATGAGTTGGTGACTGTGAATTAACATGAATCATATGTTATGACTTTCTCCCTCTCCTCATCTCCAACCTGTGGCAACAAATAGCTGCCCCTAAGTAAGCCCCTCCTTAGTTATGCAGCAGATTTCTTCATTGGAAAAGAGTTTTTCCTTCTCACAGTCACCAAGAGTTTGCTTAAAGGGGGTCATCTGATTGCTGTTGGGTTTATTTTCTCTGTTATTGTAGGGTCTTTATGTTACAATATAAAACAGTCTTTCTATCGCCTGTTGTTTGGTGCTATATAAATAAAATGAATTTGAATCGAATTGAATTGACCTCACAGTCACCATATCTCAACCCAGGCTTATATCCTAATATCTGTTAAACACAGTAATGATGGTGCATCAAGGACAATGTGGCTTTAAGTAGCTTGCCAACAAACATTTTGACTCTACTCATGCCAGCCTACCTTTGAAATTGGTGGGCAACAACACTTCTCCCATAAGTGTTCCGTTAAGAACACACAAAGGAGTCCCAGAAAATATCCTCCAACCATTACACCTCTACTAGCAGACTGGACCACTGATACAAGGCAGGATGTATCCATGCTGTTTACACCAGATTTGGACCCTGCCATCTCAGTGTTGCAGCAGAAATAGAGGCTCATCAGAGCAGGAAACATATTTTCAATCTTCTGCCGTCCAATTTTGGTGAGCCAGTGTAAATTGCTGCCTCACTTTTCTTGTTTTTGGCTGAGAGTGGAACAAACAACAATGCCCCGTTCAGTGTGCCTTATATCACCTTGTTTCCCATTCTGTCGCTTGGTTTGAACTTCAGCAGGTTTTCTTGATCATGTTATGCATAAATTGCTGCCATTTTATTGGCTGATTATATATTTGCAATAGCACACAGTTAAAGAAGTAGAGCTCATAAAGTAGCAGTTTAGTATATGTCAAGCAGCTCTCTGCACTGCAATAATCAAAACATCAAATGAGGTAATGTCTTTGGAAAAATCATGTTAATCTCTCCAATAGTTCACGAGAATCAATACCAAGAACCAGGAAGCTCTTGTGGTTGTGCTGTCTTTTCCTTGAAACCCACAGGTTGATTCCCCAGACATGGGTTAAGTCCAGTCCTAAACTATATATTTTTATTTTAAACTTTTTAAACTATAGCTAAATTGGGAAAATTAAAAATTTGAAGGTACCTTCACAACACTTACAAATGTTTAGTTATTTAACCCTTTAGCAACTAATCTAAAGTTATCTTACAATAAGTAATCTTACTATACCTACCCTAGCTACCTTTATGTCACCCACTGGTCTCTGAAGGCCTCTTTTAAATTCTGGGAACTAACGTTTCTGCCATTGCCATCATGGTTAGAAAAAGCAGATGCGACAAAGAAGGTTTGGTCCGACTCTCAAAGCAAAGGTGCATTAGCTAACAACTTGTGATTGACAGGTCGTTAGCTAATAAGTCTCCATTTTGCAAGATAATATGACCAAGATCTACAAAATAGATAACGTTTTAATTGAGCCCATAAACTCAGAAAGAGTTAACAGATCTGGGTCAAATCAGGAAGTTGTTTTCCCAAATATCTCCAAAGGTTGATTCGGTTCATCTGGACGTAGTGTTTTCAGTGGGAGAAACGTTTCATCACTCATCCAAGTGACTTCTTCAATCTCAGCTGACTGCAGGTTTCTCCAATCTTATAAAGAGTCAGTGGTCGTTGATCAATGGTCATTAGAATTTGCATAATCATGATGAAGGAACAGCTGGCCCAGGATGTGAGTGGGCGTTAAGGCGTCTGGGAAGGGATCTCAAAACTGGATTATAAACTGGATTTCAAACCATCTGTCCTCTCACTCCTCTGTTGAAAGAGGAGTGAGAGGACAGATGGTTTGAAAGAGGAGTGAAAGAAGCCATCTATGTCCACTGTGAGCGACCATCTTTGAACAGAGGC